GAAATTTAAAGTAAAAGAGGCCGTGCGCCGAAGACGCTCTCGCGGCAAAAAATCTTTTTTTAGCTGCACGCGCTCGGCAACCTCATGTCTGAAATGCCGCGCTGGATCCTGCTCTTCGGCGCGATCATCCACGGCTGCAGCGCCACCTGCGGCCACACCACGTGGGCGTCGACCTAAGGAATAAGGTGAGGTCAGGTAAAACTTCTCCACACACACACGCAGTGGTGGGGCAGCGCTGGCCACTCGACCTTTCCCGCGCATATGAGCTGCGCGACGCGCACGTCGTGCGCGATGTCAACAGGCCGCTTCGAGTGCCGCCTAGGATGATGCGCGGCTCTCAGGGTGATGAGAGCACACAGGTCGGTGGGTGGCGGGTGTGGGGCTTCTCTGCTCTGCGCGGGCGAGGAAGCAGCGAGGCAGAGCCCCGTCTGAACCACACGTGTCCCTCCATTCACACTCTCCCAATCCTCCCTGGTCTAGTGCCCGTGTTCTCCGCCCGCCGTGCAAGCCCCACCCGTCTAGAGCAGAGCCCCGTCAGAGTGCCCGCGCGCTGCGAGACGCGCACCTGCCCACGAGGACGGTCTGTCATGGAAGTGTAGCCGCGGAAGTTAGAGGTGTCGTGGTGGGAGTGTCGTGGAAGTGTCGCCTCTTCGGCGCGACGCCAGCAGTCTCCCAGCCCGGCCGCGCGGTGCGGAGAATCGCTTCAGCGTAGCTGCGAGGCCATTCCGCGAGCAGGCCGTGCAGCCGCGACGCGCCGAACGCGCTCGCAATGTAGGCGTGCGTGCACATTGGAGAACCTACACGTGGTGCGCGTCGGCCTCTCCGTTGTGCGCGGGGCCGGCTGCGCCACCGTTGGGCCCGACATCACGCGCCGCCCCGGCAGAGGCACCGTGCCCTGCCCTCTTCACCTCGCTGGGGGGAAGGGATGCGCGTGCAATTTCGGACGCGAGTGCCGCCGCAGTGTCCCAGAAAGAGCAGTGTCCACGAAGGACTGGACGACCGTAGATGGCGCAGCGCGGCTGTGGTGCCAGCGCAGAAGCTCGGCTGGAGAGAGGCATCATCTTCGATGAAGATCGCCGTTGCGTTGCTGGCAGCGACCGAAGCGAGGAACCGTAAATTGGTGGCCCAGATGCCGAGCATTTTGTGCGCCTGCTTGAGCGCTTTGGGCACGAGGGTGGCATTGAGCGAGTGCAGGACACCGGCTGGCACGTACTGCCACAGCTCCGCCGGTCCAACGGCCCGCTCGACGACCAGCGAGCGGAGGCCGTGCTGCTCCGCTAGCAAGCGCCAGTGTTCCCGCCGTCCACCCGGATCTAGGGTCTGGGCGCGCGCTGGGATGGCGAGCTGGCAAGCTTTCGGCGGCGGCGGCGGCGGTGGCCAGCAGCCCGTGAGAAGAATGCCCTCGCACACGCCCTTCTCCAGACCCGACGGCGCCACACATAGCCGCCACTTGTCTTTGTCGGGGTCGATATGAGGCCCATTATGGTAGTAGAAGCTGCTGCAGTTGTTTTCCGGATAGCGGACGTCTTTGCAGGCGCCCTCGGTGAGTTCACTGCGGCCGGCGAGTTCACTGCACGACGGCGGCGGCGGCGGCGGCGGCGGCAGTGTTTGGCTCTTCGCGGATAAATCCGCGCTGATGAGGGCTGAAGCCATCGCGTCGGTATCAGATCGCCAGCTCGCGCGCGGGTGCGGCAGGTAGAAGGACTTGACGGCGTTGACGGCTCGAGGTGTGAAGAGACGCCGTTCACACGTCATGCTATGAGGAGAGCCCTATCACGCCATACTAGCTTTTTTTGATATTTTCTGAGAGCGCCTTCGTTGTTAATAGTACAAGCCCAATGGTCCCTTGCAAGCGGTCCTCTGTTGCAGTCGCACACACGCACACGCCGCGCCGCACCGCGCGCCCGCCCGCTGCCCCGCTCAGGCGGGAAAGGGATGGATGAGGGGATGGGACAGCGAAGGAGGAGCCCAACACGTATGGGAGGGTTCAGTTGTGCGTCACGCTGCCCGGCGTTTCTCACTTTCCGGGACAGCCCCGCCCTTTCGAGGCAGGAGAGTGTGACGACTCGCACACCGGCCCCGGAATAAGTTACATCATAGGGCCTCTGCCCCGCACATCCCCACCCCCTGCCACGCTGCCACCCCTCACTGACACACCCTCGTGCCTCGACACGCACATACAAGACAAACCCGGCGTCCTGCTCTCAAAAGAAAAGAAAAAATGGGAAGGAGGAGACCAGCGGGGGAGATATTTTCTTTTTATTTCCGCCCTTCCTTGCAGCAGCCCCCTCCAACCCACCCGCGCTAGGTCCTAGGTGACGTAGGGGAAACCCGGCGAGCCTGGGGAACTAGCCGGGGCAGTCGGAGAAGGGGCAACTCCGTGCACTGACGGTCGGCCGTCAGAAACCACGCCTGCGTGGATCGCGTCACACACACACACACACACACACACACACACACACACACACACTCACACACACACACACACACACACACACACACACACACACACACACACACACACACACACACACACACACACACACACACACACACACACACACACACACACACACACACACACACACACACACACACACACTCACACACACCACCTCCTACCCAACCGGCAAGGATATCCACCTCGGAACCTGCTGACGGCGCCTCTCTGTGTGCACGAATAGACGAGATCAGCCAAGATGCTGTGGCATGCTGTGGCGATGATGCCAGGCATTCCGTGGTTGACCGTCCAAAACAAGCCCAGCTTCTTCATGAAGGAGCAGCTCGACCCGCTGAGCGAGGCCGACGCGCCCGTAGTTGCCGCGCACTACACGGGCCTCGTGGAAAAGTACCGCGGTGAGCTCGATACGCAGAGGCAGCAGGCACAGCAGTTTATCCAGGTGCAAGCGGCGCAAAAGGCGAAGAGCGGGCTGGTCTGCAAGGGGCAGATAGGGGCCGTGGAGGCGGCGATGCTGTACATCATGATCCGAGAGCACAAGCCCGCCGAGACGATCGAGATCGGCGCCCTCTGCGGCTCGTCGACGAGATGGATCCTTGCCGCGCTCGAGCGCAACGGCCACGGCCACCTGACCACGTACGACCTTCACGACTACACACCGAGCTTCGTGAATCGCTCGTTCGCGCCGTCGGTCCTCAAGCACCGATGGTCGTTCGTTCAGGGTGACGCAATCGCCGCGCTTGATAAGGACGATGTACCATTCGACGCCGAGCTGCTCTTCATTGACGCCCTCCACCGCAACTCGTTCGCTCAGCTCTACACCGACCGGCTGCTCCGCAAGGCGGCGGCGGCGATCTCGCACCCTCTCCCCGTCTTTGTCCACGACATCTTCTCGCCGTTCATGATACCAGCCTTCAAGCACTGTCAAACCGACATGTCGCTCGCCACTCTCCGGACGGAGGTCGACTGCATCCGCCGAGCGGCCAAGGCCACAAGCGGCAACCGGCTCGACCTCCTCTACTCGGAGAAGCAACCGGGCGGCGAAGGCATAGAGCTCATGGCGTGGCTTGCTCGCACTGCTCGATCTAAGGCGTTCGTCACGTTCTCCATGTACGCTGCGCCGGCCGTCTCGAGGTCCATCGCACGTGCGCTGCACCGCCCGGACGACGCTGCGAACAATAACCCGGCCATCTTCTTCCTCATAAAGCCAGACAAGCACTAGAAGCCGCGGGGGCGGGGGAGCGCGTGAAATTTGCGCTGGTTGTCACGCCCTCGCTCGCCTCGCCCCGCGCCCCCGCGCGATGCGGCGCGTGTTGGCCTTTGCGCGAGCATGCCCGGCCGCCTCGCCCCGCACCCCATGCTCTGCAGCGGCGCGCGCGCGTGCCTGGCTGCCCGCCGTGCTGCGAACGCCTCGCGCGCGGCTCGTTCCGAGGCTCGAGCGACACAAGTCCCTGGCGCACACCCGGGTCGCGGGCACAGTGAACCTGGTTTGTGGAGCTCCCACAGGTCACCTAGAGAGGACGTAATTCGGGGTTCCCCACCGGCCTTTTTCGTAGTGGAGAGATCAAGGAACTTTTCTGCTGTCACCGACACCGACATCGCTCTCCTCTTTCATGAGACGAGATCGACGGCCGACGACGCGGACCGCGCGGCTCGCGGTCGCGCTCGGCAGTCGCGACTAGTTGCAGTCGCGATAGTTGCAAATACGGGTCTCGGGTGGGTTGTGGAAATGATGACTTTTGATGTTCTTTTGTCCGTGTTGCTCCCAGCGCCCTCGCCCGCGCTCTCTGAGGCCATGGCTGGTGCTACTGGTATGGGGGGTTACCTGGCTACCGCGAGTGTGGTGACCTACGTTCGGGGCCAAAGGTGCTACACACACTTGACTAGAGCTGGCATTTTTGGGAGCTGAGCAATGTTGCTAGTGTTAACAGAACAACAGAACAACAGAACAACAGTAAAACCCAGGTATTTTCGGGTTTTACCCGGGGGTTTGGCTTTTCCTGCTTGCTGCCTGCTGAACAACAGTAACAACAGTAACACACAGTATCAGTAAGTCGGAGAAGGGGCAACTCCGCGCACTGACGGTCGGCCGCCAGAAAACACGCCTGCGTGGATCGCATCTCACCATTCCTCGCTACCCAACGCGGCCAAAGGATATCCACCTCGAGAACCTCGAGAACCGCGAATTGGTGGTGGAGAAGAGAAAAGAATTTTCAACACAACTCGCGGCGAACTGGCACTAACACAGAGAAAAGAAAAACCAACTCATGGCGTGATAGGGCTCTCCTCATAGCATGACGTGTGAACGGCGTCTCTTCACACCTCGAGCCGTCAACGCCGTCAAGTCCTTCTACCTGCCGCACCCGCGCGCGAGCTGGCGATCTGATACCGACGCGATGGCTTCAGCCCTCATCAGCGCGGCTTTATCCGCGAAGAGCCAAACACTGCCGCCGCCGCCGCCGCCGCCGCCGTCGTGCAGTGAACTCGCCGGCCGCAGTGAACTCACCGAGGGCGCCTGCAAAGACGTCCGCTATCCGGAAAACAACTGCAGCAGGTTCTACTACTATAATGGGCGGCGGTGGGCCGACCCCGACAAAGACAGGTGGCGGCTATGTGTGGCGCCGTCGGGTCTGGAGAAGGGCGTGTGCAAGGGCATTCTTCTCACGGGCTGCTGGTCACCGCCACCGCCCTCGCCGCCACCGCTGCCTCCGCCGCCGCCTCCCCCCCTTCCGCCGCCGGCGTCGCCGCCATACAAGTGGACAGAGTTTGCTATGCCCAAAGGGCGGCGCGGCCACTGCGTCATCGCAGCGCCCTCCGGCGCCCTCGCCTCCCTCGACGTCGCGATGCAGTCGGCCCGCCGCTCGGCCAAGCCGCGCCCCGCCTCCGCCTCGGCCGAAGACGAGACGGCGCTCCTCACCGACCACGAGCAGGACATGTCTCGGACATGTCGTGGACGTGTCTCGGACCTGCCCCTTATAGGCGCTCATCACCGACCACGAGCTGCCGATACAGAGCTGCTTCGAGGCGTGCTCGTCCTCCCTCTTCTGCATCGCGCTCGAGTTCTCACCCGCCAACGCGTCCTCCTCCGCGCTCGCGGACTGCCGGCTCGTCAAAGGGCCCCTCTCGGTCGAGGCGGTGGCGCCTTCCGACACCGCCGCCTGCTACGTGCGGCGCAAGGTCTTCCTCCTCCCGCCCCCGCTCCCGCCTCCCGCGCAGCCGCCCTACTACAACTACTACAACTACTACTACTACTATACCACTCCCACTCCTACTCCTACTCCTACTCCTACTCCTACTCCTACTCCTACGTCCGTGCTGGCGTCCGTGCTGGCGCCCGTGGCGGTGTCCGTGCTGGCGGTGGCTGCTGTTGGCTCTGCCTGCCTGCTCGCCCTCCGGTGCCGCCTGCGATCGTACGTGGCGTACGATCCGCACGAGCACGCCGCGCGAGGCGGACCTGGGGGCGGACTCAAGCGGACCGCCTCGTGGGCGGCGGAGGCAGGCACAGGGTTGGGGCAGCGGGCGGCGGCTCTGGCAAGCAGGGGGGCGGCGGTGGGCGCCGAGTGGGGGCAGCGGGCGGCGGCGGCGGCGAGCAGTCACTTTGGCAAGCGCGGGGTGCAGCTGCTCGGGGTCGATAGGGACGCGCCACTCTCGCCGGCGCACCCCGCGGCCGACAAGGAGGACCCGTCGTCGACGGGGCCCGACTTTGGCGAGCCGCGCGCCCCGCTTGGCGCGTCGGGCCAAGGCAGCGTTGCCTTCCACACGCTGCTGGCTCACTCGCAGCAGCAGGCGGCGGCGAGGACGGAGCGATTCTCGAGGGCCGAGGCCGCTAAGCCCGCGGCGGCCGACGTGATCGGCGATATCCTCGCCCGTAGCCGTGCCTCCGGGCGACACGCCGCGCCCTCGGCCGGCTAAGCCGCCGCCGACGACGACCGGCGTTGCAGGTCGCCGCCGATCTGGGGGCGGGAGAAAGAGAGAAAGAGCGGATTTCTTGATCTTGTCGGCTGTGACACCAGAGAGAGTTTCATCTTCATTTCTTTTTTCGGCCATTCAAATAATTTTATCCACTTCCGTCTTGGATCCTAGTTTCCGGATTGCGCGCCCCGACCTCTGCCCCCTCCGTGCTCCGAGCTCCGTCCGTCCACCATGCAACCAAACTCCCGGAATAAAATAAATAAAAACCGACACCTCCAAGTGCACCTCTACTGTGTAAAGCCGTACTGAGTACTGTGTCTGTGTGAGAGTAGATGGGTAAAAGGGAACAGGTCCCCGCCCGTGCGATCTTTGTGCAGGGTTCTTTGTGGGTGTGGTCGGCGACTAGCCGGGGTCGTCCTCCCCATGGGGGACTAGCACACTAGCCGTCTTCCACATGGTCCCTCGGGTCCCTGCTGCTCCTAATCTCTTCGTACATCCTCCTGCTGATCTCCGCAACGTCCTGCTCCCTCCCTCGTCTCGCCCTGCGCGTCTGCTCCGCCTCCACATCGTCTGCCCTGCGTCGTCTGGCGACGGGTCCTCCATAGTCGGTTGAGGTCGCCGCCCTCCTCGTGCCTCTTCCCAACGTTCCCTCGGCGGCCGATGGAGCGGCCGCACACTGCTCGGTACCCCCCCTGCACACCTAAGCCCATGGCCGAACCCCCCCCCCCCCCCTAAGCAGCAGAGCTCTGCCTGTGGGGGGTGCTGGCATCTCTGTGCAGACAGTAGCTATAAGTAGCATGCGTTCCAGTGGCGAGAATTTATGACTGACTCGCCTATGGGGAGCCCCGCGGAGCAGTCCTTGACATGTGCATGCACATGTGCATGTGCATGTGCTCTGCACAGTAGATCTGACCCCGACACTGCCTCACCCGGTGCGTGTTTGCGTCCGCTTGCTTTACGCCGCGCGCGCTTTGACTGCGGCGGCATCATGCACCCGGGGCTGCGTTGCTTCGCAGACGCAGCCCCTCTTGAACACGCCCCTCACTCGCATTGTGCTAGTAGCCACTGAATTCTCCAGATGCGCATTGGAGGACCCAGATTGGAGGAGCTCCTCCAGAGACACTACTGATAGGCGTTAGAGGCAACGCCCCCAGTGCATTGTCCCATCAACCTAAGAACCGCGAGGGCGATTGTGTGATGAGCCGTACTAGAGCCGTAGAGAGCCGTTCTTGTGGTTGCGTTCTTGTGGTTGAACCTGAGAGAAGTATTTAGAAAGTCAGGCCGCGTTACACCCACTCTCTAACAGAATTTTACAACCAACGGCGCGCACAGCACGAGTCACATGACAGACACAAGGCGCGGGCGACGGCTGCCTCCCAGAAGAACACTCGACCGCAACGAGCACACCAGTGCGAACCCTCACACTCTAACAGAACACTCGACCGCGAGGAGCACAACAGCTCACCCTAACAGAACACTCGCACGGACCGCGAGGAGCACTCAGCAGTACGAACCCTCACTCTAACAGAACACTCGACCGCGAGGAGCACACCAGTGCGGAACCCTCACTCTAAGACAGAACACCGACTCTAGTTGCGGTTGAGCGCCCCTGGTCTCTTGTGGCACTACCATACCCAAAATTTAAGAACGGCTCAAAGTTCGTGGTAGAGCTTCGAGCGGCTGGGAATTGGGTTACCAGAAATCGTAGCCGTCGACAGAATGGCTTTCCTCATTCCAGGTTCAGTCACCGCACGCGTAGCGACTCGGCTCGGCTGCCAGCCCGCTTGTAATTTGCATCTGGGGGGCGTCCACTTCCTTGTACTTCAGGTGGCACTCTTCTGCCTTGCAGAACGCAATGTCGTTGAAAGGGGCCGGCAGGTTGTCACAGCCTCCCTCCGCGTAGATCCGCGTGCAGTCGTACGTATCGCAGAGTTTCTTGCACCAAAAGTTTTCAGGATCAGTCACCCGGCTACGGACGGACGTGGTGATGCCCTTCTCAACGCCGGTCAGCGTGAGCATGAGGGCATCGGTGGTGCCAGTCGGCCAGGTGCACCAGGTAGGGCGAGGAGACTGCCCATCGCATCCGATGATGGAGCAAGAGTCGCAGCCCCCGTCATGGCAGACCTGGCCCACTGGTTTGCCACCGATAAAGTTCTCCGAGCCGTGGCGGCAGCAAACACCTCGTGCCGAGCCCACGCACACACCGATCTTCGACCCTCCTGGCTTGGAGCAGCCCCGAGGTCCCTGGCAGTCTGCGCTGGACTCACAACCCGGCAGGCCTGACTTCGCCACGACGTTGAAGTGGAAGCGCTGGTTTGGGTTGCCGTGGCAAGTGTGGAGGTGGAGCTCGCTGCTACCATCCAGTTTGTACTCGAGGCATAGCTCCGGGTCCGACTTGACCTTCACCAAAGACGCACCGTCTACACCAAGACCGCTCCCCCCGATGAAGTACCAGAGCTGGTTGTCCCCTCCGTGGCAGTCAAACATGATCAGTTTGCGATCCGAACGGTTCCAGTCGAGGCACTTTTTGTCTCCTGAAGGGTGTGCCACCTTGATTGTGTAGTAGCTCTCAGAGGTGGTTCGAAGGTGGCACTGGAACCCCTTGCAGGCTGCAATGTTGTTGTACGGCGCTAGGTTGTCGAGTCCGTCTTTTGTACGCAGGTTGTCACAGCCTCCGTCTTCGCTTATCTGCGAGCAGTCGTATGCATCGCAGAGCATGCGGCACATGGACTCATCGGCTCGATCTGGTCGGGGCAGCCGGCTGCGAACGCCTGCCGGCTCGACGAAAAAGCGTTGGTTCGCGCCCCCGTGGCTGGGGTGCAGGTACACCATACCCCATCCCCAGTCAAACACCTTGTCATCGTGCTTCTGCATGATCTCGGTCCCGGAAGCGCCATCCGGCTTGGGCTCGTTGACGTCACAACTGTCCTCGTGAGGCTCACAGGAGAAACCGGTCGGCACATACTGGTTATTTTTTTTGAGCTAGCCTTCGATGTTAGGAAACAAAGCAAGGCGGACATGGCATATCGCTCTCGGGCCCACAGACATCCCGCACACCCGCCGCCACCCGCGCGCGCCCCGCCCCACCCCGGCCGGGAGAAAGGGGAGTGACAGTGCGGGATTGAAAGCCCGGGTATGTTGAGTCCTGGCTCAACAACGCAGGTTAAGAACGGGGGTGGTCCGGCTCCCAAGTCCGGCTCACGCGCCCCGAGCTCACCATCTACCGCACTGAACACTTCCGCCCCCTCGCTCCCAACCCATCCACCTCGCCGAGATATGCCGAGGTGCGCGATCTCGGGCCGCGCCGCGCAATCTCGGGCGATCTCGCGCAATCTCGGGCAATCTCGGGGCCGCGCCGCGCTATCTCGGGCGATCTCGGAGCGTCGCTCGCGCGGCGTCACACTTGCTCAAAAAAGGAAGGGCCTGGTTGGAGCCACGGGGCTCACGAGGACGTGCTCGCTCGGTTCTCGCCGCCTCGCTCTGCGCCACTTGGGCCGGTGAGGCGGCGCCCCGCGCGGCGCGTTCCTCGCCCCGTCACGCCGACCCCTGCGCGCACCGCTCATCTTCAGCCCTCTTGGGGTTACTCTTGCGCTCACGCAGGGGAACCCGGCGGGACTCCCTTCCCCCCACCTCCGACGGGTTAGGTCGGTTCTGCGCCCCTTTCCGCCTGTGTTTTTTTTGAGCGCGTTCCTTGTGTGCCCGCCCTTGTCTGCGGGACTGCCCTTGGTGTAGAACACACATGCCGTCTCACGCCGCTGACAGGCTCGCAGATGTGGCCCTCGAGGACGGTGCGGCGCGGCAGCCGCTTGCTGGGCTCTTCCTTGACCTCCAAGATGTTCCTCTTCAGGATGCGCTCCAGCCACTTTTGGCACTGCTTCCACGCAATGGCTCAATCCGTGCGGACGCCGGCTTGAGGCAGGTGCAGGCAAAAGCCCAACGGGCCCGTGCCAGGCACCCGAAGCTGACGCAGGATCAGGCTGTATGCATTGTTCTTTACACGACCGAGGAGCCGGAACGCGAGCAATCTGTTTATTTTGGATTGAATGCCGCGCTGCGGTCCCACCAAAGGGGTGGCATGCGCGACTGGCGCGACTACGTCTGGCTACTGCTGGGTGGGCTGAAGAGCTTACCGCCACAGCACGTGCCGCGCGTGCTTCGGGGAGTGGCACGGCCGTTCGCCGACCTTGGTGGCTACGCCATCGGCGCACAGGTGCAGTGGGCAGCGTTCTCGAGCTGTGCCATCGGGGCAGTCAGTGTCATGCAGGATTTTATCGGCCCCAGCGGCGACCGCACCATCTTCCAGGTGGAGCTCTGTGAAGGCACTGGCCGCGACCTGCACGAGTTCTCCTTCTTCCCGGGCGAGGCTGAGCTCCTCCTTCCCCCAAACCTGTGCATGCGTGTTAAGCGGATTCAGCACAATTGTCTTGGCAGCCCCGGCCTCACTCTCGTGGAGCTGCATCAAGAGATCACCCAAGACATGATTGCTGATCTTGACCCTACCATCCGCCCTGCGAGAGAGCTGCGGCGGCTGTTGGGTGAGTGGTGGCCCACAGCTAAGGCTGTTGCCGCAGCGGTACAATCAGCGCACGCCGCAGGCATGGCTGCGCATGGTGGCCCCCCGGCAGAGCTGCTGCAGCGCGGGGAGACTCTACTCGTCAAACGCCTTGGCATCTCGAGCATGCGCATTGAGGAGCTTGGGCGAGTCTTGGATGAGTACATGATTGCGCCCGGTGTCGTGCTCGCAGCACTGCAGAGGTTGGCGGCTCTATGTGACGATCGCTCAGAGAGGCGAAGCTGGAAAGACAACGATGAAGAGGCAGCCGCAGGTGTGCTCCCGTCAGTCATCGCAGCCATGCGCACGCACGCCGCCTCGCAGGCAGTGCAGAGCCGTGGGTGCATCACGCTCGGAAGCATCTGCGCTGGCGGGGAGAATTCTTCGCTTGCCCGTAAGCAACAGGCAGCAGACGCAGGGGCACTCTCCGTCATTATAGCGGCTATGAATACATACGCCCAGTCGACATATGTGCTGTATGGAGGGTGCTTTGCACTTGCCAGCATTTGCAGTGGCACCGATGCTGCGGCGCTAGCCCGAAAGCAATTGGCGGCAGATGAGGGCGCGCTGATGTTGCTCGTTTCGATCGTGCAGGCGAATGGTGGACTGTTTGAAGAGTGCGACACTTATTGGTTGGAGGACGTGATTGGTGGAGGACCTCCCAGAAGGTGCTTCAACAGCCATCACGTGGACGCTATCTTCACGTTGGGTGTCATATGTGAAGGCAATGATGACGCTGCAGCGGCTCGGCAGCAGACGTTGGTGAGTGCGGGTGGATTGCCAGGGATATTCTCTGCCCATGCATGGTTGATGCGTGGATACCGTGGAGCTTTGCAGATGCTGTGTGTGGAAGATCTCTGATCGGCATCTACGATCTCCACTCAACAAAATCTACTGGTGTCCCGTAGAGATCTCGATGTATGACGCTCTGTTAGTGCCAGCGCGCGCGATTGATTGATTGATGCGCGAGTCCTGCCTAGTATCGCGATTTTTTCTTTTTTGCATGCGCAGTCGGTCCTGACTCTGGCGAGTAGAGGCCCCGCCCACCCAGGGTACCCCTCTCGAGGGACCCGTTGGCTCTTTCGAGGTCTCGCCGGGGCTCCGCCCCCCCCCCCCCCCCGCTCCAAGAGACCTCGAGAGTGCCCGCGTGTGCCTCTACTCGCCCGGCCTGACTCGGACGCGACCAGCCCCGACCCTTGGCCACGATCCACGACCGAGTTCCGACGCCACACGAGAAAATGGTAGCGCCCAAGGCACTGGCCGACGAGACGTGCCGGCTCCTGTCGACTGGCAAGATACGCGAGCCCGCGGCCCGCGGCACGGTGCTCACTGCGCCGCCTCGGACAGGCACGGCAGCGGCCTCCTCGCATCAGCACATGAACGTTCATGTGATAAGCTGCGGCAGCTTTGAGGCGGCGCAGTGGCTCTACCGGTCTCGTGCGTGCTCAAACGTGTGCGTGCTCGACTTTGCTAGCGACTCGGAGCCCGGTGGCGGATGGAGAGGCAATCAGATCGGCACGCAGGAGGAGAACCTGTGCCGAGCGTCGTCTCTGGGCAGGGCCCTCGAAAGGCTGCCCTATCCGATTCCCACGTACGGCGCGGCGCATGTCCCAGAGGTCATCGTGTTTCGCAATGCCAGCGGGGAGCTGGCCCCGCACCCGTTTCGAGTGGGAGTGCTCGCGGCGTGCCTGCGCGACATCGGCGGCAACGGTGAGCCGGATGCGAAGCAGCGAGCACATCTTGAGAGCAAAGTCAGCGGCGTCCTCTCGATCATGGCTTCGTTTGGCTACGACGGGATCATCCTCGGCGCCTGGGGCTGCGGAGCCTTTGGCAACCCACCTGCGCTCGTGGCGCAGGCGTTTGCCAAGGCGCTCAGTGGCGCATTTGCCGGCGCGTTTGCAGAAGTGGCCTTTCCAGTCCTTCGCCAGCCGGCGCGCGGTGCCTTCTTGGAGGCGTTGCAGCCGTTGGGCGCCAGCAGCGTCGCGCTTCATGCGGCCAGTGTGGCTGACGGCGAGTCGGCCTCTGCCCAGCAGGCCCCGCTGCCCCCTCGGCGTGGACTGAGTGCCGTGTACGGCCCTGGCGCGTCTGCCCACGAGGAGGCGGAGCTGCTGGAGTGGCAGGAGTGCGGGCTGCTGGCTCAAGAGGCGGTGCGGGAGAGGGACTGGGCAACGGCGCGGGCGCACTTTGAGAGGTGCGTCGAGCTGCGGCCTGAGTGGGCCAAGGGACACGAGTGCCTCGCTCGCGCGCTCGCCAGAGAGCGGCAGCAGGGAAGGCAAGCAAAGGAGGGGGCGGCGCAGGAGGGGGCGGCGCAGGAGGGGGCGGCGCAGGAGGGGGCGGCGCAGGAGGGGGCGGCGCACGAGGGGGCGGCGCAGGAGGGGGCGGCGCAGGAGGGGGCGGCGCAGGAGGGGGCGGCGCAGAAGATGCAGGCGGACGGACAGCAGGCGGTGGCCGGTGCAGGCATGCAGTTCAAGAGCCGAGTGAAGGGGGTGAAGTTGCTTGGTTACGAGAGGGAGCTGGTGGGGAGGGGCGAGCTGACAGATGTGACGCACGATGGCGCATCTGCCGTGTGGCTGAGCGCCGAGAGTGCCGAAGAGGAGCAGATGCGGACTTTGGTCTATCGGCCCATGGGCGACGCTGAGCTGAGCCATCTGCTCACACACGGCGAGCTGCCGGATACCCAACCCTACCAGACCATCGTGCGAGGCGCCGAGGGCCGTCAGTATGCCGAAAAGTACCTGCGCGGCGCCAAATGGGTGGACAGCAGCCCCACGACAGTGGTGGAGTTTGTGTGCCCTTCGGAGCTGATCGAGGAGCTGTTCGTGATGCAATGCAAGCCCGAAGACGGTGCTCTCTCTCACGGCCTAGGCGACAAGGGTGGCCACGGATTACCAAAGTTCAACGAGAGCCTGCGAGCGGGTACTTCACGCTACCGGATCGTGCTGGTCAAGCGCGGGCCGAATGCACGGCCCAGAAGCAGATGACGCGACAAGAGCCTCCCGCTGGCAATACGTTTGTTTACACGTCGCATGTGGCACACGCCACACACACATACGCGAGGCTCCCCCCGAGGCTCGTAAGGGAAATTGGATGATCACCTGTGACAGAGTCCGAGCGTGTTTTCCGAGGCGCTGCGCTAGGATCAGAGCGAGTTCGCGCGCTGCGCTAGGCTCAGACGGCGAGTTCGCGCACGCCGTCCCCCTCACTCACAGAGTGTCACACACCACACTGCCCTGCGTGGCCGCGGGAAGGGTGTTGGTTGAGACGCGGGGCGACTGCGGACTGGGTGGGCGGGGCGAGGGCGGAGGGGCGGAGCAGCGACGCGCGCGCGACGGAGGGGCGGAGCAGCGACCGCTGGCGCGGTCGCTGCTCCGTCTGTGCCAGAGACACGCGCTCTGCCCCTCCACAGAGCGCGCGTGAGGCAAGGTGGGGGCAAGCGTGGCGGCGCGGGGACGCGCGGCGGCGGCGGCGAGCAGCCGAGCGCTCCGTGCGCGGTGAGGCGGCCGGGCGAGGGCGCGGCGGGCGACGGGGCAAGGGAGCAGCCGGGCGAGGAGAGGTAGGAGGTGCTCGCCGGCGAGCGCTCCCGCGCCTGCGAAGGGGCAAGGCCTGAGGGCAGGCGGGCGGGCGGGCGGGCGGGCGCGGGTGGGGGGGATAAACGCTGCGCCGCCAAAGGAACCAGCGACACTGGCCGCGGCTCGTCGCCACGCGCCGGCTCGGAAGAGGGGCTGTCGGCGGCGAAGCAGAGTGGCACGCCTCGCCGCTCGAGCCGCCGACAGCCCCCCTCCTCGACGTGACGGCCGCTCCCGGAGCCGGCCGGTGGAGTAATGGAAATCTCTGCGCAAGACCAGTAGATCGTTGGGGTAGAGATAGTAGATTAAGACTGGAGATCCTAGCGGATCTCTCACACGGACACGCCCAAGTCTCGCCAGTAGATCCGTCCTGTCCGGTTCCCCATTCAAGACTAAAGATCGAAGATTGAGATTGTGGATTGCAGATCGCTCTGAGCAGCAACAGGGCCAAAATGTGGAGATAGGAGATGGAGAATGCAGATTGTAGATCCTAGCGCCCAGCCATCCGCCCCAGGCTACACAGTACCTTAACATGGTGTATGTGCGGCTCGCGCCGCAAGGTAGGTCGCTGTCGAATCGAGCCGCTGCCAGCATGTTGTAACATATGGGCCGGTTGCGTCAAGCTCAGCTTTACCTACCTAGCTTTACCTACCTAGCAGCTGACCACTTGTACCAACGAGGCGTCGCACGCCGAGCACGCTGCACGTGCGCGCGCTGACAGCCTCGAAGTTGTGACAGAGGCGGGCCACTCCGTCGTCACACGCCAGCTTCAGCGAGCTCTCAGTCTCGATCGGATCGAGCATCGACGTGCCTGGTGAGATCGAGCATCTTATATTACGGCTACCGTGGCGAGCCGCGAGCTGACGGCGTGTCGCCGTTTGGCTTTCGCCACTCGCCACCGCGCGCTCACCGCCCACCGCCACCTGCCACTAAGAACACTAAATCACTACGGCAACCCACCCACCCACATGCACCACACGGACGGTGCGCGCCCCCCCGCGCGCGCGCACGCGCGCACACGCGCGCATGCGCATGCCCGCACCCACCAGCGCCGGCGCCGGCGCTGACCTGCACCGCAATGTGTGTGTAGTTACCGTCGGCGTGCCGGAGCAGCAGCCCCGGCGCCTCCGGGAAGTTGGCGCACGGCAGGGGCGGCCAGCTCCGGATGCGGCTCGACGTGTACGACTCGGACTCGGAGCCCGCAAAGTTCCAGCGGTGGTTGTCCACGGTGTGCGGCCCGATCTGGCAGCGCGCCACCAGCACCGAGTTGTTCGCGCAGCGCTCGCCGGTAATGTTTCAGTATTTCTTATTTGGGGTAACTCATCACGTTTTGCGATTTGCGTGTTCGTGGGGGATTTCCGCCGGATATGCGATCCGTTCGCCCCCAACACAATGGGTTGAACACTCCGGTGCGTCTCCGGCTCTGTGACAGTCTCAAAAAGGGCTGCCACCTCCGCCCTCACTGCGAGGTCAGTTTGCGTACAGCACACGCAGCGCCTGCTGCGCCTCGGCCGGGTGCACGCCGAGCATCGCCGGCTGCGCGGCGACGTCCAAGGCCGCCTATCCCGCAGACAGTGAGCCGGGTGTCAAAAGCTCACGCCCCCGCGCTTGGGGCCCGGCGGACATTCTCCGCGCGGCGCCGCGCCTCGCACAGCGCCACGTGGTCTGCCGCCCCGCGTGGCGAGAGGCCGTACCGCGGCGCCGTAAACTCGCTCGTCGACAGCGCCGAGAGCCACGCGTCGTCCGGCGCGACGGCGGGCGGTCGGCGCGGCGGCGGCGGCTTTGCGGGGCGGTGGCCGGCGCGGCAGAGCCACCGACCGCCCTGCGCGCCGCTCGGCCAAGTTGCGCGGGGCGGACGGCCGCCTTCACCGCCTCCGCTCCCAGCGCCGCCTCGGTAGGAGGGCACGTCGCGCCGGGTCGAAGGGGCAGAGTCGGAAAGGAGAGCGGCGGGTGGCTCGGGGGGCGGCGGCGGCGGCGAGAAGCATGGGTCCGAGGCAAAACTGCGGCGCGGCGCGGGCGTCTCTGCCGACACGCCGCGGGAAGTGCGCCTAATCTCGGGCCATCTCGCCTCATCTCGCGTGATCTGGCGTGATCTCGCCTCATCTCGCGTGATCTGGCGTAATCCCGCCTCATCTCGCGTGATCTCGCGTGATCTCGCGTGATCTCGCGTGATCTGGCGCCTGACGTGGTGGCGCAACGGCGCGGCCTCTGCGGCCGGCCCGTCGCGCAAGGCGAACGCGAGGTCCCTCCCCCCGCCGCTCGCCACCTCGAGGGAGAGGGGCTCCCCCTCGCCCACCGCCCTCCTCTCGGGCAGAAGCTTGACCGCCTGCCTCCAGAGATGGTGAGATATGGCGAGATACGGGGAGATGTGCGGAGATATGGGGGGGTATGCGGAGATATGGGGAGATATGGGGAGATATGCGGAGATGCGGAGGTATGCGGAGGTATGCGGGCAGCAGCTTGACCGCCTGCCTCCAGTGCGTGCGAGCAGCCTACGGGACACGTCCGTATATCTCCCCATATCTCCCCATATCTCCGCATATCTCCTACGGGACACGTCCGCGACGCGTCCTCGGCGCACCGGCTCGCCTCTGGCCGCTCCTTTCTCTCTCCCTCGCCCACGGGGCCTCCCCATATCTCCCCATATCTCCGCATATCTCCCCATATCTCCGCATATCTCCGCATATCTCCCCATATCTCTCGCGCGCCCACGGGGCGTTGGTGAGCGGCGGAGCGCCCGAGTCGTCCAGATCGGCCTCCCACACCCACACCACCGCGTTGGCCTCGCCCGACGCCTGACGCCGTGGGAGCGACGATGCCGTGTCGTGAAGACGGCGCCGAAGCCGGCGAGTGCGCGGGGTGCGAAGGCAGCGGAACACAGCAGAGGCGTGCGTCTCGTGCAGTCCCGGTTTGAAGGCCAAGAGTCGCGTGCCCCGCGCATCTACGGCCGCGCAAGCCTGCGCTGTCAGTGCGACGAGCCGGTCGGCGGGGGGGGCGTCGCCGACCACCGCCGAGAAGACGAGGCACTCGTCGGTAAGCGGCGCGTACCTGTGATTAACGAAGGAGGTGAGTATGGAACGAATGAAGTAAGAGGCCCTCGTCGGTGAGCGGCGCGTACTCGGCAGCCGCAAGGTCGACGGCAGAGTACGAGCGCCTATTACTGAGCTACGAAGGCCGTAGCTGATTTATCAATTCCATCGTTCATCAAAGGTCGACGGCCGAGTACGAGCGCCTGGGGAGATTCGGCGGAGATATGGGGAGATGCGGGGAGATGCGGTCGACGGCCGAGTACGAGCGCCGGTGGCGGTAGCGCAGCCACGGCCAAAGCGCCACGCCTAGAAGAGAGATGGGGAGATATGGGGAGATATGGGGAGAGAAGCAGCCGAAACCAGAGCCTCACGCCGCTTAGGCGCGACGGCACGAGCTCGGCGCTGTCGAGCGCCGTGCCGCACCCCTGCAGCTCCACCAGCGTCGCCCACACGCGGATGCGGGCCGGCAGCAGCGGCGCCGCCGGCAGCAGCAGCCCGCCACGCCGTGCGGCGGACGCGAGAGAGAGCAAGGACTCACCGAGCCCGCCCGAGTCCATCAGCTCGGCCAGGAAGAGGTGGAGCTTCGGCGCCTGTTCACAGGAGGGGAGGTGTGAAGAGACGCCGTTCACAGCTCGGCGAGGAAGAGGTGGAGCTTCGGCGCCTGTTCACAGGAGGAGAGGTGTGAAGAGACGCCGTTCACAGCTCGGCGAGGAAGAGGTGGAGCCGCGGCGCCCCCTCTGGCGGCGCGGTGAGGAGTCTCGCGGCCTCGCTCTTGACCAGCTGCACCTTATTGAGTAATTGAGTAATTGAGTAATAAGTAATTCATTTTCGCCGCCTCTCCCTTGACCAGGCTGCACCTCGCCCTCGGCGCCGTTGGCGGCGACGCAGCGCCGGCCGAGGTCCGTCACGGCGGAGAGCATCTCCAGCCCGAGCACCTGAGATATGGGGAGATATGGGGAGATGCAGGGAGATGTGGGGAGATACGGGGAGATACGGGGAGCATCTCCAGCCCGAGCACCTGAGATATGGGGAGATATGGGGAGATGCGGGGAGATACGGGGAGATACGGGGAGCATCTCCAGCCCGAGCACCTGAGATATGGGGAGATATGGGGAGATGCGGGGAGATACGGGGAGATACGGGGAGCATCTCCAGCCCGAGCACCTGAGATATGGGGAGATGTGGGGAGATGTGGGGAGGTATGGGGAGGTATGGGGAGGTGTGGGGAGATGTGGGGAGATATGGGGAGATGCGGGGAGGGGAGATACGGGGAGATACGGGGAGCATCTCCAGCCCGAGCACCTGAGATATGGGGAGATATGGGGAGATGTGGGGAGATACGGGGAGCATCTCCAGCCCTAGCACCTGAGATATGGGGAGATGCAGGGAGATGCAGGGAGATAGATACGGGGAGATACGGGGAGATACGGGGAGCATCTCCAGCCCGAGCACCTGGCCGCCGCCCGCCCGCCACAGCAGCAAGGAAAGCAGACCCGACCCGCACCCGACATCGACCGCCACCTGGCGAGCCTCCGCCCCCTCGCCCGCCGCCGCGCCCGCCGCCGCGCCCGCCGCCGCGCCCGCCGCCGCGCCCGCCTGCAGCCGGCCCGCAGCTCGGCGCAGCGCCGCGGCGTACGCCTCGTTAATTAAGCAACACACAACTAAGCCTCGTCACTTGCCTCGCGAATTCAGCCTCGTGAACTAAGTCTCGTTAATTAAGCCGGCGCACTCTCCTCGGATCTCGGCGAATCTCGGCGAGTCCCGGCGAATCTCGGCGAATCTCGGCGAATCTCGGCGAATCTCGGCGAACCTCGCCTCGTTCCTCGGCTGGTCGCGCAGCATCGCAAAGTGCCACGGCTGCACCAGCATCCGCCCCCACCAGCCGGACGGCGGCGGCGGAGGTGGCGGCGGCGCGGCGGGCGGCGGCGGCGCACAGAACCACGCGCGCAGCCCGTTCTGGCGCGCGACGACGGTGAGGGGCCCTCGGGCTGGCCTCGGCTCGAGGAACTGGACGGCACGCTTGTGCGGCGTGGGCGGGTGGCGCATGGCGCCTCTGGCCGCGTCGCCGAGCGCCTCGACAACTCGCGAGGATTCGTCGCCCCACCGCAGCCGCACCTCGAGCGACCGATGCGACTCCCTGACTGACTCGCTCAATCCCACCACTTCGTGAACCGCTACTCGCACCTCGAGCGCACCGTGCCACTTCCTCGCTTCACTCATCGCGTTGAAGGCAGCACCTCGAGCGCACCATGCTACTTCCTTGCCCACTCGCTCAATTCATCACTTAGTGAGTCGTTAGGAGTTCTCCAGCCGCACACATCTCCCATATCTCCCCCATATCTCCCCCATATCTCCCCCATCTCTCCCCCATCTCTCCCCCATATCTCCCCCGTACCTCGAGCGCGACCGCGTTGAAGACCGCCGCGTTCGCGCCTGGGGGGAGATGTGGGGAGATGTGGGGAGATGTGGGGAGGTGCGGGGGAGGTGTGGGGAGGTGTGGGGAGGTGTGGGGAGGTGTGGGGAGGTGTGGGGAGGTGTGGGGAGGTGTGGGGCAGATGTGGGGAGATGTGGGGAGATGTGGGGAGATGTGGGGAGAGATGGGGAGAGACGGGCAGAGATGGGGAGATATGGGAAAGATGGGGGGAGATGGGGGAGATGGGGAG